GCACAACTCACAACAGCCAAGCTTCGGAGCCAGCCTAGCTCCATCAGCAGATGAACGGGTAAGAAGCTGTGGTAGTCTACACAGTGGAGCGTCAGTAAGCCACAAAAGAATGAGATTCTGTCACTTGCAAGAAAATGGATGACTCTGGAGCCCATCACATTGAACAAAACAAGCCAGACTCAGAACGACAACACAGGGGCTGGCGACATAGCTCAGCAATCTAAAGCGCCTGCTTAGACAAGCTTAGGCAGGCCCAGGGGACCAGGGTTCAATCCCTGGCACCGTATACCACACCAGCCCTGCCCTCAGGGCAGGCTGAGCCGGCAAAAAACAGACAACACACATGTTCTAGTAAGTAAAATCTAGAAAACTGACATGAAAGTACAAGGCAGTGTGTTTGCCAAAAGGAAGAAAATAAGGTGGAGTTGGAGAAGTACAAATGCAGCTAATGGAGGAACAAAAGACACACATCGAACCCCCACAACACGTGAAAGGTGGGGGCAAAAATGATCAAACCGCGTTAGTGGATGTACACACTCGCCAGAATGAAACCCATTAACCTGTGCAACCCCCAGAAGAGTGGGAGGAACAGAAATAGGAGAAAAAATGAAGGAGAAAGGACAACGATAAGCCTTTCATGTAAGCAAACAACATATGCTACAGCACAGTAGTTAAGCATAACATGTATTACCAAACACAGCTTAAGACAAGCTTGACTAAAACTAAAGAAAACACTTGGTACGATGAGGCCGGATACAGAAGGTCTCTGAATCAGAGAAGGAATCACGTAACACAACTTGGGATTCAATCAGAAAAATTATCAGAGTCATGACAAAGTAATTCATATCCAAAATGAATTCATCAACTCTGGCCTCAAATAACATCTGAAAACAACATCAAAAGACTGATGCATAATTTGCACCAAGACATTTCTGAAGTCAAACAGTGAAGTATACAAAAGGGCATTCATTAAGATTTCTGCCCAAGTAAGGTAACAGCTAGTATTTACTAGAAATGCGTATGCTCATGCATTACTTCAGTAAGTTCTCATAATAACCTCGTGAAGTTTGTATGATTATAAAATGGGGAAAAAAATCTAAAAAGCTCAACCTGCCCTCACACAGCCAATGACAAACAGCAGCAAGCCAAGGGAGACCAAAATGGATGCTCTTAGTAAGTATGACACGGTGCTCCTTTCCTGAAGGCAGGTATTTTTAAAGAATGTACCACTTACTTATGTAAGGGTTTTGCATGGTGCAGCACCTGTCTGGTGGAGGGTGAAACAGTCGGGGCAGGCCGCAGTCAGGAGCAGCCCTCTGGAGGACACCTCCTGTACACCTCCCCTGAGGTGTTCTGAGGAAATCCACAGAACAATCCAGCAAACCACCTGGGGGCAACGGCTGCTCCCAGCAAAGCTCTGCACCGCTCTGTTACACCTACCTCGGTGTATGACTTCTTGGTTATGTGAACATTCTTAGCTCTGTAGGACTGGCGTCTTCTTTTATAATCTCGAACTTCTGCCAGGATTTCAAGGTAGGACTTTGGACTTTTCCGACTAGTATCTAATAAAAGAGAAAAATAAAACGATTGTATCTTTAACAATTTTTAAGTCCTTTAGAATCCACAGGTGGTCCAGCGTGGTGGTGTATGCCTATAATCTTAATCCTGGAAGACTAACACAGAAGGGGGATCGCTGTGCGTTCAAAGCCAGCCTGAACTCAATAGTGAGACGCTGCCTCAAAATACCAAACCAACAAGAGAGGAAGAAAAAAAAAGGGAGAAACACCACAATCATCCTATATTGCAACATGTTTCAAGGTAGTATACAAGGACACCCTAGAAAGCCCTCCTTCCTTCTCCCTATCTGGGCTGTTCTTCATCATTTTTTTTTCCTCTACCCATTAATTGAACATAAGAATATCTAAGTCCGTAGATAAAAACAACAGCACAATTGTAAGTAACAGTTTTACAAAAGAAAGATGCTTAATGTAAAAGACTTAGTAAAACTTCATATACTATCTTTTTTTCATATACTATCTTGATATGTATGTCTGTCTGTATCAGATGATATAAATGACCGCACCCCAATTCAAATCAGCATATAAAATCATCTTAACACTCACAGAACGGAATGATAATTAGAAACGTGAAATACGTAATTTCCTTCAAACCTTGATTGACTTTGGCAGCCAAGTCCACGAAGAGATCACTGTCGTTTTCAATGGTCTGTGAATCAGAGCGCTTTTTCTTTGTCTCCTCAACAACAAAATCATAAAGGGCAAGACGATCTGCTTGGGTCAGATCACAAACAGCCCGTTTGTGATTCAGAGGAACCTCAACAGGCAACGAAGAATACATTCCTAAAGTAAAAAGAACAGAAAAACATCACAAGAATAAACAGTACATGAAGCACTGGGGGCTTAGAATCTACAGTTTAGCTTTACACATGTGCTGCCCTATAATGCGGTATTAACAATGTTTAACATACATAGTAACCCTGAAATACATGAAATACCACTATGTGTAACGCAATAAATGGTAAACGATTACCATCCTGAATGCTGTCATCTACACAAAGGATATATCTTCAGTCCTTATTATTCTTTCCAAAAATGTTAAGAAGGGAGGCAAAATAATCACAAAAAGCAACTTGCACATAAAAAAGTCTTTTTCTTGGTAGAAAGGGGTTAAGACAAGGTCTTTATAATGTAGTCCAGACTGGCATTGAACTTGCACACCCCCTGCCTCAGTCTCCTGACAGGACTATAGACATGCACTACCACCTCCGTCAAGAAAAGCTTTTCTTTCCTTCCTTGGGCATGCGTGCACGTATGTGCACGTGTGTGGGCACGCACATGTGCATGTACAGTCTTGCTAAACTGCCAAGCCTGATTCCAGAGCTCAAGAGATACTCTTGCTTCAGCCTCCCAAGTAGCTGGAACTAGCAGTGTAGTCTATCACACCCAGCTAAGAAAAACTTGGGGTAGCAATTTTTTAAGGACCACCCATATTATAAATACAGATATTACTTTGTAGATGTTACTTTCTATATATATGCTTTTGCCATAAAAACTGGAAAAAAGCTTTTGCTAGGTAGTACATGCTGTAGTCCCTTTGAAAACAAATTATGAGAATATGAAAAATGGTTAAGAAAAATGTCTTGTTTGAGCTATCAAGTTAGACATGCAATATTTGAAACACATTCTATTTGTGCAATGACCTAAGAGTTAGGAGGTCAAAAAAACAAACCAGGGGTGGTGGTGCACATCTATAATCCCAGCACTTGGGAAGCTAAGGCAACAGGACTGCTGTGAGTTTGAGACCACCCTGGGCTACTCAGTGAGTTCAAGTCCAGCCTAAATTGCATAGTGAGACCCTGTCTCAAAAATACAAAAAAATCAGTAGAAATCCCAAACTTTCTCAAACCAGAGAAAGCTACATTAAACTGAACTCATTTTAAATTCCTGAGACAGTAGAGTGGCTAAGCCAAATCAATTAAAAACAGGTAACAGCAATGCCCTCTGATACTTACAAACTTTCTAAAGCCTGCTCATTAATGAAAAGGAGTAAATACAATACCTTGATATGATGTATTAAAACACTGAAGAAAAGTTTTGCTTTGAGATTCAAACGTACTCAAAGAAACAAAATGACTGTGACTGTAAATAAAACAATTTAAAACAATTCTTTCTGCGCTTCATTATTCACTAATGCAAATAAAGAACATGACCTACTAAGGGAATCCTTCCGATGTTTGCCAGGTTATCCTAAAGTGGTAACTCAGTTCCAAGAACAATGTAAAAGCAGCAGCTCTTCCCAGATACTTAAGTCTTACTATGTTAACTCCTTAGATAAGAGGCAAAAGACTTCAAACAAATGCATAATATGCACTTAGCATTTCTATCAAAAGACAAAGGGGGAGAGAGGCAGAGACAGAGACTGAGGGATAGAGAGAGCGCGCGAGAGCGCGAGCGAGCACGGGTGCAAGTGAGCACTTTATACTGCTCCATAAACTAGGAGGGTGCTACACTGAATCTAAGGCTGTGGTTTAGTGGCTATGGATAATGACACATGGTCATTGTTACTACTCAAAGGGTATACATTAATTGGGAAGAAGAGTTCCCTTTCAAGTTAATCGATTCTATCCTAATGCTGGTAAGCACTAGGAAAGGCCTTTTCATGAAACCAAGTGTCAAAACATTTAATTTTATAATACAAAATTAGCTTTCATGTGCCTAATTCTTTTGCATACAGGCTATAAAAACCTGCAAGAAAATATAAACATTAGAAAACAATGCTATATTACAAACAAGCTCATTAACTTTTGCCTGTTAATCTTTATAAACAATGAAATGGAATTTCCTCAAAATTATTTGGAGTTTTCTTTATCTTAAATTGATGTTACTATAAATACTAAACTTCTTGAAATTCAACCAAAATTTCAAATCAAGACTATAATGTTGTGACAGGCAGTAAGATAAAAGCTGAAAGTTTGAGTAATACTTTTAAAAGGATATCATTTGCAAAAAGGATACTGCATATCTTTAAATGAGTACATTCAGGTTCCTAATTCCTCTTTATACTCACCCCAATTACTGAAAAAGAAAAAGTACAGGAAACGTTAAGCAAAAAACTGCATTGAAATCTTTCAGAACATAGATAATTCTGAACAAAGAAAAAAATATACTTAGATAAGCTACATTTACATAAAGTGTAAATTTTCAAAGTGCAAGTTCCATGTGATGTATTGCCACATTTGTTACCAATTATACATCTCTCTTCTTTTGCAGCTTTTTTAAAAACTCACCCTTTTGGTCATTTCCAAGCATACACTTCAGAGGCCTACGTACATTCACGTTGCAACCTACAGCTCCACGGGAAGAGGGCCTCAGCAGCCCCAAAGGAAGCCCTAGCGGGTGTTTGTATTAACTCTTACACTCCTTTTTTAGTCACTTCTGCCATCAAAGGGCACCTTAAACACGACCTACTATAGTAAATATTGGTAAAAGGTACTGTCTCAAAGCTGCAAATTTAGAATTTGACAAATGCATACAGCAATAATCCCTGATATTACACATCAAGAGATTAACGGCAATAATCCCTGATATTACACATCAAGAGACTAAGGTCTGAAAAAGTAAAACAGGTCACTCACAAGTGAAAAGAGATCTGAGCTATGCATCTGAGCCTCTCCCTTATTTTTAGTCCACTGAATTTTTAAATCATGGTCATGTTTTAAATGTATTTCATAAAAAGTTAAGAATAGCAACTTGACTATTTCACATTGGAGGAAACTGATGAACCAGTAAACATAAAATGGTTTATTGCTGAAATTGGTGCTTTAGTATAAAATTGAGTAACATAAATATACGTGAAAGTAAGTACGGAGCGCTAAGAGCTGTTCAAGTTTGCAGCAAGGCTAAGAGGCTCAGAATTTCTACGCAGTGAGCTAAGGCCTAACACAACTGATGTCCTATCAGAAAATGTACATGCTCCTGTATATCCAGCAACATATTAATTAGATGCAGAAATGCCAAGATTTTCACGCTAGTCCTTCTCCCTTCAAAATAAGATTTTTTTACTCAAAGTCAATTAAAAGATATCTAAAGATTCTTGTCCTGGTGCAAAAGGTCTAAAATGATCTGACATAAGTGGGTCACAAAAATAATCTTTATTTGAAAAAAAACAAACAAAAAAAAACAATAATCTTTGTTTGGAAATTGCAGAACTGTATACAGGATATAAAAGGGTTTTTTTAAGGGTTATAGTTATTCTATTAATAACAATGAAAATTTTAAGAGAGCGTAAAAGCCCAAAGTCAAAGTTTCTCTTCACTATCTACTAAAAAAACTATTCAGGGCTGGGGATATAGCTCAGTGGAATAAGTGCTTGCCTCGCCAGCGCAAGGTCCTGAGTTCAATCCCTGGTACCACCAAAAAAAAAACTATTCAAAGTAATTTTTTTCTTTTATAATGAACTAAATTCCATGTCTAAATTTGCCTTGTCACTCAAATAAATTTATAAACTTGGAATATTTCCTAAATTATAATTATTATAAATTCCTTTAAACAACACTACAAGAAAATTTGTATCACCGACAGAAAAGCTCAAGGAAGCTGCCACTTATCCAAGGCTAAGCAGTAAGCTGATTTCTTCAGACCTGGCTATCTGAAGAGCAATGACAGGAGTATGTACCAATCTAAAGTTTGTAATATTCTTTCGCTTAGTCATGATAAAAAATAATGAATATATTTTAGTGATTACCCAGAATCCTATTCGCTGAATTTCACTAAATGTAGGCCTTCTATCCCAAACTAACACAACTCAGTCCAGACTATATAAGAGATGAGTTTCTTCCCTTTTGTGAGTCTGTTTCTTCACCTAACAAGGAGAAAACACTGTCCTAACCTACTGTGAAAGAGAAATGAAATTCAAAAAAGAACTCTGTAAAGAACCTTTTTAAAAATAAAAGTACTGCAGATATCTGGAATAAGCGCCCTAGAGCTTCATCTGATCTCAGACAGAGCTTCTTTCTTCTCTGTAAAATGTGTGCTCTGGGTTAGAGGCTCTCTAAAAGCTCCTTCAACCCGCAGCTAAGCTCTATCAACGAGTGTCATCAGCTAAGAGTTGAGCTGGAATTAAGCCGCCAGGCACCAAAGTGGAAGCCTCCCAAGAGCTCCAGAAGATGTTTCTGACCCTTACAGGGAAGGAAGGTAACAGGCAAGGAGCAGAGGGTAGCCTCCTGAAGCCGCACACAAACCCAGACCAGCTACTGGCTCAGAACACGCTTTGGTAAAGATCCTGAACGTCAGCCAGGGAGCAACCAGCCCTGGTGAGAGGCAGGACAAGAAGGCGGCACGCCCAGACCAGGCTGGGCAGAAGGTTCCAAGACAACCAGAAACCCTTGCACAAGGAACCAGTCACGCTCTGGCTCGATCTGGATCCGGAAACCTGAGCTTTCTGTTAACCGTCCACTCTGGGTGATAGATTCAGTCTTCCTTTAATCTCCTAAAAGCTTACCCTTCAGTTTTTAGCCTAGTGCCTAGAGGAGTCCCGAGCATAAGCTCCTGAACCCAGCTCTAACTGGGCATGAAGAAATCCACATCCCCTCGTCTGAGGCCCAGGACACTGCTCGGGCTCACGCTCTGAGGCGGCGCGCCTCAGAACTTATCAATCTTACTAGGTGATTCCAAAGTATGCACCACTAATTAACAGTGGGAGGCCAGTGACACGTAACAAATGACGGCAAAAAACGCAAATTAGCCCAGTGTTAAATGTAAAGCTTAACCTTTCCCACAGAACTCTTTTCACATAGTTTGTGTGTGAAGAAAAAATTTAGTAACATGTCCTGGGGGGCGGGGATTATGTGACTCATTAATTAGCTCAAACTATGATGGCTCTTACTTTGACTGTAACAATCACCATCTTTTCCAACTTTGGTTCTAGCTTGATTAATGATCTGGAATTGTGCATCCTTATCTGTCAAGAAAAAATTAATAAATGTGTTAGGAATCATCACTACTCACTAGCTTCCAATCCAAGCTCTCTAGACACACAAACTTTCCAAAATCTTAGGCTGCAAACATCTACATCAATGCCCACATAATGTGAACACAGAATTCTTTCGATGCTTCAGTGCTTCCCTAGCAAGCCAAAGAACCTGGGTTTATTCCCAATTACCAAGAAAAAAAAATCAAAAGGCACCACACTACAACCAGGCATGCAGGAGCAGCAGCTAGACTTTTCTGATCTCCAACATTTCTTCAAGTCTAGCTGTGTCAGGCACTATTCCATGTATATGACAAACCATTTCCTCCTCACAAAATGCTACCATCATTATTTCCAATTTGTTTAAAAAAAAAACTTTAGAAAATAAACAGGTTAATGACCTTGCTGAAAGGCACATTTGTCAGGGACAAAACCAGTGAGTGAATCAAGGCATTCTGCTTCTAGAACCCGAGACTTCAAGCTCTACGGGAGCCACGAATACCTGGGACACACGTCCACCTCCCTCATTTTCAGCCTCCACTGTGGGCCCAGAGCTCACTATCACCAAGGAGGAGGGTGTCTGCCCTGCAGAGTTTTCACTCCGTTATATAAGCCTGGCCTTTCACCTTCAGATTACACAAACTAGTTTCATACCACTTTAATAAATCCTACATTTCAAGGCACTAAATATCCTCCCTAATCAGAAGCATGTTTATAAAATCCACTTTTAATGATTCAGAAATAAAAACCTAATACTCCCACTAAAATATTTTAAAATTATAAACTCACAACTTAATACTTACTCAAAGTAATTGACGGCACCTTCACATTCTCATAGAAAAACTCAGGATTATATATTTCATCCTAAACAATTTTAAAAAAGTTAATTGTAAGCAATTATTAAAAGGTTCTTAATTATGTTAAGATGTTACATAAACTAAAAAGTATCTTTAAATATTTCTCACATTGATTTGTGAGATTAGGCAAGTAATATCTTACCCTACAAATAAGGGTTATTATTTTGTATCAGAAAAACCTCATGATACACCTTCAAAATACTGTGTACTTAATGCAAGAACTACATGACATGACATATGTGTAACACAGTAAATATATGCTACCTCTTCCTCTTTAGTATAGCCCATTTTCCTCAGGCTACACGATTCCATGTGCTTTGATAAAGATGATTTAGGCATGTGATGATTGGAATCATAAGGACATATCACAACTTCACCCTATAAAAAAGAGGCAAAGAAAAAGGTACACAATAGTTTTAAAAATAATTATACCATTAAACGTTTACTATGCGAATAAATGGTACATCCACTGCTTCCTCTTCTGCAGGCCTCTCTCAACTCCCATACAAATGTGTTTGTTGGGCCCAGGAGATAGTTCAGTGGAATAAGCTCTTGCCTGGCAAATGCAGGGGCCTGAGTTCAATTCCCGGTTCCACAAAAAAGAAAAAGTATACTGAAACAAAACAAACCCCCTTAAGCCCCTACCCAAGTCTCTGCACTCTCCTCCTCTTCTTTTTTTTTTTTTTTTTTTTTTTTTTTTTGGTGGTACCAGGGATTGAACTCAGGACTGTGAGCTTGCCAGGCCAGCACTTATTCCACTGAGCTATCTCCCCAGCCACACTCTCCTCTTCAAAGCAGCTTTAAAGACACGATTACGCTCAGTGGCTCAACAACCTAACAATGCCACTATCACTTCCAATACCCACCAATCTGTCACTGGCCATGTTCTTTTGTTTCTTCCATTTTCTTGCTAGTGGAGCCAAAGAACATGTCATAACCCTTACAAGACTGAAACTCTTGGAAGGTTAGGAGTCACCTGTCCATTTCTACCACCCTGGTTCACTGTTCGGGTTCCTGCTGCCTTGTTCATTCTTTTACTTGGCCTTTTTTTTTTGTTTTGTTTTGTTTTTGCAGAACCATTGAACTCAGACCTTTGGGCTTGCCAGGCAAGCGCTTATCCTACTGAGCCATCTCCCTAGCCCCTGGCCTCTTGTTCTCGGGGCCTCTCTTCTCTATTTTCCTGCTGGTATTTCCTATCAGACTAACTAGTAACCAATTAAGTATGAGCCAACAAATAAATTCATCATATTGTGGTCTTTTAAGCCCCTACATCGTTCCTCTTGAGCGTTCCTATTTTATGAAAGGTTCTAAGCCCTCCGAGCAAAAACTGCCTCTTATCCCTCATGAACCACTTGGAATAAATCACCTAGTCCCGTCCATTTTCCTCCTAACTATATCCCAACTGCCCCCACACAGTCTTTCTGCAAAAAAAAAAAAAAAAAAAAAAAAAAGGCAGCATAATAATTAAACACACACTCTTAGGAGCAAGAAGCCTGGGTCCAAATCCTACCTGCCATTTAGTGACGGTGTATTCGTGCACCAGTTAGCACCTCTCTTGTTTTCTCATCTATAAAGTGTTCCCACCAATACTCACCACACAGACTATCATGAGTATTAAGCGAGGCACGTGAGTACACAGTAAACGGCATACACAAAGTGCTGCTTCGGTGTTATTACAAAGAAACCAGTTCTACTGCAACAGTGTACTGCACAAAAATCTGTCACTCCCCACTGAATGGCTAGAACTGCCCCCCTACAAATGAACACTGACATCTTCTTCGTTTTGTTTTTTTAATTTCCACTGCGGTCTCCACACAACAAATACTGAATGAAATATTTTTAACGCTACTGGGGAAATCAGACGTGAGACTTAAACCCTGGAAGATCATCACAGCGTAGTACACCCAGAAAGAACCTACAAAATTACCCTGCAACCGAGCACTCCTCTTCCGCTACCCCACCAAAAGCGCAAAGAAAATAAAACTCCGGTGTCCCCTCTCATAACGTGTTTGATTTTTTAAAAAAGTAATTCTACCACTCAGGTGAGATGCTAGTCACCCTCTCTTAGTGGCATCTTTCAACGATCCCAGAATCTAGGTTGCCTCGGTTACAGGCGTCTACTTCCAGGGCAGAAAAGGTGACCTGGAGAACTCCCCGCTCTCAGGACGCCGAGATCTGGCGCACCTGCGGCATGCTAACGACAGAGACAGAGCAACGCGC